GTGTCACGGACGGTACCTCTCCATGCGTGACGATTGGAGGCAGCGGATCTGGAGAGCTCTACTTAGTCTCTTCTCCAGCGCCGGAAACCGAATACCGAAGGCCCAAGAACTACTTTCATGTCCTGACAGACTGAGTCGAGCCAGGGCGCGGACGGCTGAGGCCTGGCAAGCAAAAAGCCTATAAAGTATGGCAAAGACTGACGACGGCGCTGTGACATGACGAACGTGAACCGCCATTAAAAAAAGTTAGCTTGTCACCGCTGCCTTGTGGTTAGGTTGTTGAGCCAAAGCACTAGAGGAGACAACCTCGAACAAATAATCTGTGTGGCTGTAAGGGACCCGCTCGTACTCAAAACTCCCAAGTCACATCAATGAAATGCATGTCCGATAACTGCAATACAATCCAAAAAAATCGAGCGGCTGTTGGGGACCCGACGGTATTAAAAACACCCAAGATCCCTGATGCATATGTCTACTTACGATCTTACAATCCTCAACCAAAGACAGTGGACCGCGCCAAAACAGAAACAACTCCGTGAGCAAAAAGGATTCAAACAGGGCTGAATACTGTGGCCCAGTACTGTAAAGGTGGCAAAAAAGGGGAAAAAAATACCAGGCCACCGGTTAAAGCCCGACTTCCACTTGAAATCTACAAGTGTTGGGAGTCCGTCTGCATAGCGTAACGGCTTCCCCGACACCGAGCCGATATCGGTAGGTAGACGCCTACCGATCGCGGTACCATCGCTAATATACCCGGTCGTAGGCGAGAGGACAGTCCAAGTTGCTAGGACACTAGACTTCTAACCAGGGATTCCAGCCTCGGGAGGTGCACCACCCGAGGTTGGGTATGGTTAACTGATGATGGTTACTAAGCCAGAAATGGTCATTCCAGTCGCCCTTGTCCTTGTCGAAAATGTTTACCTGCCTCAATAATGTACTAGCGGCTGTGTGGCTGCTGGCGGAGCTCGATAGTGAGTTCCAAAACAGAACGGGACAAGTAAGCCTCATAAGCGATCGGTGATGCGTCCATCCACCGATGATAATTACCTTGATGGAAACCGGCAAAATAACGAGTACATGGCTCAGTGGTTAGGACGTTGGACTTCTAATCAACAATTCGCGGTTTTGAGCTTTGAACGAATAAAGCCGGCTGATGACGGCTAATAAATCAGAAATGTCCATTCCAGTCTTCCTGGGCTTT